TAAGTATAATTCGTCTAAAATAAAAATTTTTTAAATTATATTATTATTCTTATAACACAAAAAGGTAAACAAATTTACCTTTTTTTTGTGATTCATAAAAAGTGGGCCTTCCATTTTTTTAAAAGAATTTAATATACGATAAGTTTTATGCTGGGCATATAGTAGGATCGCATCTTATCGACAGGAAAATGATGAACTTCTCTTCATAATTTTAAGTCAACATCATAAAATCACACAATAACTTATAAATAAAGGTCTGGAAAATGGATGTCACCTCAATGCAAATTCAAATGATTAAATATCTGTACAAAATTGTTTTGCGCTCGGATAATTTTTTACATTATCACGGTTTGATATTTAAATTGTAATTCAAATTAAATGCAGTTATCATTCTCCTCAGAATTAATTCTTCTAAAGATACTCAGTAGATTTTCTCGTATCTTCCTAAATATTACTTTACTAAAAAATCGACATTATTTTTATATTTAATAATATTTGTGCATTCTTAAAAAGTAATCGAACTAACAATAATCAATTAATTTTGTCGTATACAATTTGTGACGCAAGATTCTTTTGACACAACAAATTTCGAACGAAACGCACGTTATAATCTATGCAACTTTGCAATTTTGTGGAATTATTTTTATGGAATCACCTTTTTTAAGAGACTTGAATATTTCTTATTAAAGGGAAACACGACTAATTGGCTGGAAAATATGAGTTAATGAACTACGATTACGATTTATTTTAAATATCTCGTACATTAAATCATTTAACATCAATGAAAGATCTTGTGAAAAAATCTTCCATGATATTTTAAATCCATATTTATTCTAAAAGAAAATTATTGAAAGTAAAAAAAAAAAGCACGCGGTCATGTCTAAATTTTTGCAAGATAGTAGAAATTTATCTGTCTACTTTTTTATTACTTTCATATTAGGTTATAAAAAAGGGTATACAATATCTGGTTTAGCTATATTTAGCTATTTTGTATTAATTATTTTATTATGATCGGAATTTATCATGAGAGACACAAATCTTCATTTATAAAATATACGAAATGTCGATTTTGTCCTTTTTCCCAACACTCACCCATTTAAATGTCCTTAATTAACTATTTAAAGTCTTGGAGGCAAAATGTTTTATTTTCAATATTGCTCAAAATTTTATATTAATATAAATAATTCTTATGATTCGAGAGTGATTTACTGATATATCATTCTCAGTTTTATCATAATCATTATGAACTTATATATGGCTGAGTTTTATGTTGTTAAGATTATACTTTATTGATATTTGTAAGGTTGAAACTTGCCTTTGTCAAGGCGACGATATATAAAATATAAGAATTATAAAGAGATATCTAATATAATAATGATAATAACTATAAAAGTAACAAATTACGATTCATAAAGTAACGTCACGAATATATTTTCAACGATATATAAATTAAAATTTTGGAATCAGCTTCTTTCTGCTACTGGTCTTAGGTGGAAGAAGAGGTGGGTTGTAAACGAAGTTGTTGAATTCTTGCCAATGACATAAGAACTGCCCGTCTACCGTCTGGTTCTGCGAGGTCGAGACCGTATTCAACCCATTTTCCTTGGTCATCGTCGAATCTCTATTCGAGTTTTAGGCAAACATAGCCAAACTCCTTTATGTATGTTTCAGGGATCACTGCCTTATAAAACACGTAAGTGGAAATAATGCGAATGGCGAATAAATTTTCTATCGCTATTTCCCCTTGTACAGTCGCCACTGGATATAATGAACCCTCCGTTCTGTGGGGTTTGGTTCGGTATAGGATGAGTTCGTTATATGATGCTCACTCTATATACCGAACTGTTCGGTATATAGAGTCTACCAATAAAATTAAAGACATGTGATCATATTAGTAATATCGGTATTAACATTTACATGTATACCTTGCATATGAAAAGATTAAATTTTACTTCTATAAGCATTAATTTTGTACAATATCAACTTAAAAATCTTCTATTAATGATCATATTTTTGCGTAAATTTATCTACACCTGGTAAAAAACTTAAAAATCACATCATTTAAAATTCACAGCATTGTATATTATTATACTTTATTAACAAAATTATATCAAAATACAAATTATTGCCCCAATAAATATTTGGTGTGTAAGTTCAATATTATATTAGGAAGACTTGGTGAAAGAATATCCCCTTTCTTGACATGATATCGGAGCACTTTAAACAAAATTTCTGTGTTACGATGAAAAAAAGATTATTCAAGTTACGATAATTTTATATATTAATCTAAGTCACGTGATCGTTCTGTATATCGAATACGTGGCTAATATATTGGTTTGGCCAACATAAGTTCGGATGCGGTATATGGCATTTTACTATATAATTTCAGTATATCCGGTGCAATTAATTATAAAAAATTCAGTTCTGCACCACTTGGTTCGATATAACGAGTTTTCGGTATAAACAGGTTCGTTATAACCAGTGGCGACTGTATTTTCATCTTCCACAGTAAATTTTTCAGTAAGAATTTGTGCTTCCCCTAAACAAGAAGCTGATTTAATGTTCTTCGAATGTTTATCCTGTTAAAGAAAAGATTTTGAGTCATCAAATAATATGGTATGTCAAATAATTGAAAACACACACACGAACCTCTATAATTATCATAGCAACTCGTGTCTTTGATACTACATATTCAGCTATTGTCAACACCTTCTTAGTACTTTCCCCTTTCTAGATTTGGATGTTATGCAAAATTAAGAACTAATTAAAGCATATAAAAAGCAAATATTACTATTTATTAA